TCACATCAAATATAATATACATATATTTAATGTAAAACCTTTTATGTCAGACACCCTATATATATATATATATATTCTACACAAACACACACACACACACACACACACACACATATAGGGTGTCTGCCATAAAAGGTAAATTATATAAATGTAGATCTTGTTATTCGGAAACGATTTTTCTTTAACAAAAATATCGAGGAACGCCATATTCTATATATTTGTTTATTTTATTATACATTAGTTATATATTTTGTTATTATTTTATTTCGTTTCTTTTCTTTTTTAATTTAGTTATTTTATTTGTTATATTTCTTATTTTATTATATTATTTTGTTTATCTTAGATATTATAAAAATTACTCATATAACAGTAGTTCTTCAATAATATATTATTGTTATAACTTTTTCGTATACTTGTAGGTTTTTTTTCGTAAGAGTTGTTCAGAAAAGACAGATTCTTGCTTAGGAATTCGACTGCGAAATCGAGCGGCGAAGAATCCGCAACAAAAGACAGCTTTATAATTCAGCCAATTTGGAAGACTAAAATATTTATCAATGTCAAAAGGGGCGTCGATCATTGTCATCGATTTACAAAAAGCTGAAATTTGCCGATAGACTGACTTTAGACCACGAGAAATTAATAACAAAGAATAATCTATCTACTTTAAAGATTTCACGAATTTTTCGAGCAAATACAACAATAAAGGAGACGTCTAGAGAATTGTTGGACAAATGAGAAAATTGTTCAGACCACGAAAAAGAAAGTTATAAAATGAAGATTTAATATTAAATTATAACAGAAAGGCAATTTTATTTTAAAATAAAACAAGAATGTCGTTTTTTTTAGAGAAATATGTAGAGAATTTAAAAATACTTAAAAATAAAAAAATTGTTATCGCGCTATTTTCAAGAACTTTATTTAATATAAAAATAATTATTACAAATTATTATAATCTATAGAGTGATACAAAGAGATATTAAAAAAATAATATGTCTCAAATTTTAAAGATACAGTTTAAATTTTAAATTCTAAAGACGCATAGAATGGAGAAATGCATTCTGCATCATTCTTTCCTACATTTTATGCAAAATGCATTTTTCCTTTCTATATTCTCAGGAAAATAAAGAAGCAACCTTTAAGCAAATGCCAAAAATAAACTCAAGTAAAAATGACCCTTCCATGGTCGTTCGCAGGATTTTTTCTAGAAGGGGACATATTAGTTTTTTAAATTGTCTGTTCTTAATTCTTTTAAATTGTATTTTTGTTATTTGTATTCTTTTATATTATGCAAATAAATTTTAGTATTACTTAGTGTTGTCAAAAAAAGAGCAAATGCTTAATTTTTTTAAATGTTTTATTTCAAGGCAAAAGTCCTTTTTGCTCCCTTATGCGTACGCTCATGGACCCTTCCTATTTTTGGAACTAACGATTTGATTTTGTACCCTTACCAATGGGAGTAGAGCGGAGGACAGGCAACTGCAGGTTGTAGAAAAGTTTATGGTTTCAGGGTCAATGTCTCAGTAGTTCTTCAGAAGTTAAAGAAAATGGCAAATTGTGAAGAACGTGTAAAGCTACAGTGCTCTGTAACAAAGTTAAGCAAAAAGAGAACAATAGAATACAATGACAACGGTGTTTCTAAAAAAGGCAAGAAATTTGTCAAATAACTTATACGCGAATAGTGTAATCATCGACTTTATTTAATTCGTTTTTATTTTTATGCAGTTATAGTAGATACGAGCTTACCTCTCGAGATGACGGACATTTCAAGTTGCAAATTTATGGAGAATATCATTTCCCAATACAAGAATACCCGATTCGTTCGATATGAAGAAAATATAGAAAAATGTTTTCTAAGAGGTAACTTTTTTTGTTTATAAATATTTTGTAACTTTTTCATTAATCTATCACTCGCAATATATTACTTCTACAGAAAATTTTATAAGAATTCTAGAAAAATAAAATAGTTATAAAATATTAAATATATTATATAATATAAAACAGATAAAAAATTCAAATAAAATCGATATAAAAAACGAGTAGGAAAATAGGAATACGACTAATGAGAGATAAGAGAAAATAATATATTCGAGCAGTCGAGATCTTATGAAATTTTTTACAATTGTTCAATTTAAAATTTACTTTACTTAAATGTTATTAAATTTAGTTAAATTTATTTTCTTTAATAATTAAAATTTTTATAAATAACTTCTCGCATATTCCTTTTTTTACATTTTGGCTTTTATTTTTTTATTTATTTTAATAAAATATTGTTTTTTGTTTTTTTAATTTATGTACTTTATAGTTGTTTTTCTCATAGATACATAAAATTTCAAAAAATTTATTGAAAAGTTTATTGAAAATTCATTACTGTTGCAATAGTATTTTATTACAAAATGTTTTGATTCAATTTTAGATGGCCGTCTGCAAGAAAACTATATGACAAACAGTCGATTACTAACTTTGTGATCAAAGGCATAAATTATTTGATAGAATTACGGAAAATTGTGAATGATATAAGGAAAAATATGTTTCATAAATCAAGTATTTCTGATTATAATCAATATATTTGTGTAATAGATAATTTTATAAATTTTACAGACATATTTAATGTAAATAATAGTTTAAACAATTATTTGTCTGAAATAACGACTGCGCCTGAAAAATACACTTATATCATTGATGAGCTTAAGTACATGCTTGCATATACTTCACGGTAGGATACCATTTTTCAATACCATTCCCATAATTCGCGAACCACTGGGAATGGGCAGATAGAGCGTGTTAAACTGAATAGAAAAGTCCTGTATTATTTTGCGATATTCGCAATAATTATTGAGTTATTAACTAAAATATCTAAACGAATGAGCGGATAGAAAGCGGTAGGCCGGACTCGGTGTGCATGTCGGATGACTTATTTGTTATATGCCGCTTAGTATCAAAAGTATCATCTTACTTTTCGGCGCCACTACATTGGTCACCGCTCGCTGCATGACGCCGCCTCTCGATCAAATAATGCTTTCTACCTGCTTATTCGTTTAGATATTTTAATAAATAACTCAATAATTATTGCGAATATCGCAAAATAATACAGGACTTTTCTATTCAGTTCAACACGCTCTATCTGCCCATTCGCGGTGGTTTGCGAATTATGAGACACCCTGTATATAGTCTTATTAATTTTATAAATTAATGTACTTATTGCACAGTATTAATTTTTTCAGAACTGATTGCGATTTAACCGAAAGATATTGCGTTTTCAAATTATTACGCCATTTAAAGCAACTTTTCGCGGAAAAAATGTTTCTTAAAGAAGGTATTTTCGAAAAGATTGCTACTGCTATGGCACAATGGATTAAACCCGAAGAGGATGTACTTTATGAGTCCATAGAAACATCAATCGATAATATGGTTACGAATGTGCTGAATTCCCTCAAAAGAGAATATCCCGTACATTCGATACACTCGACAGCCAATGAAACTTTTTTCCGTTGGAAAAATAAAAATCTTATGGTCTTTGAAAATCATTGGAACGAAATAGAATCAATGGAGATTATGAATACAATTCATGAATATATATTTACCAAATTGAACTTTCAATTATGCGACGAACACTCTGACATAAAACATTTATGTATAGATAATGTTAGTTTTATATATATAATTTTTATAATATATATTTAAATTAAAGAATCTAAAATATTTGCACTCTAATTAATTTCTGTATTTTGTGATTTTTGACGCAGGTCTTAGAAGCAGAATGTGGCAAAGAAATAATTGTATTAATAATATGTAAAAGTGTGGCCAGAAGACTTGGTATAGATTGTATGGTGCTGAGAGACGACAAAAATTGCAAGTTTCTTTTACTTTGGAGATCGTAAGTGTAATATTACATTTGAAATTATCTATAATTTCCAGTATTACTCTTATTATATACACACATGCATATATACATAATTTTTTATTGTTCGCAAAACCAGAAACCCGGACCAAATAAGGTGCTTTAACAAATTTTCTAAGAATATCCAAAATTCTTTTTACAGTCAGCCTTTGACAAATGACAATTCTGAAAATTATAACTTAATTGTAACATCTAAAGAGGTAAAAACTACTATATCATACATATATAATTTCTATTAATTTTAACAATAATTTAATTAATATGTTCGTAAAAATGTGAATCAATGAGACAGTGAAGTAATGATACATCACAGCGAATTTCTGTGATGCCCTTGAGGGATGTGTCAGTTTGTAAAAAAGGTTATAAAAGAAAATAGACAAGTAAAAAAATAATGAAAATAAATGAAGAAAATCACAAAATATTAACAAAAAAAAAGGAAAATAAGTTATGAGCAAAATAAAGGTCAGGTGTATGATTTTGTAAGTGTAATGAGACATCACAAAGAATATCTGAAATGCCCTTGAGAGATGCTTTATACGTAGGCTGAAACAGTTATACAATCTTACATTTCTTGTTTGTAATTAAAGCTGTCTTCTTTAATTTTCATTTCTTTTTAATTATTTTCAGATAATGGTAAAGTTGATGGAAATATATGTGCATATAACAAAAAATTTCAATTATTGCATATATCTTTTGTGTAATCCGCATAAATGGAAATATTTCGAAGAAATTACGGTATGTTAAGCACTATATAATACATGTATACATACATACAATGTACATATATATATATAATTTCTTTGAGAACTCTCTCTGATAATTACATACATTTACATACAAGTTAAAAATATCTATAATTTAAGTGGTATGTACTGTAATTTAACGTGCTATAAAAATCTGTTTAGGAATTAAATGACAAGAAAAATCATTTAAAATCGAATATTATATTTTCCAGTTCCAAATACACTTCAACAAACAAATGAATATAAGTCGGGAAAACGTAAAATTTGCGGTTGGAATGATAGTAAAACATACAAATAGTGTTAATAGTTGTACAGGTGTAATAATCGGATGGCATCGACACAAAGATGAACATATTAAGTTCATCAAAAAAGAAACAAAAAGACTTAAATGTAGGGTTGGATTCTGCTTGACACGTGAGCACAAATGGTTAATGCCGATAAATTACTGTCATAATTATCAAGAGCACAACACATATTACATAATTCTTAACAACTATAACGAACTTTGTTATGTGGGAGAAGGTATGAATATCATTAAAATATGTTTTTATTTAAAATTATATTTAGTTATTCTACGAACTCATGCATCCCCTGGTAGCTTTTAACTTATTTATTTCTATTTTTTATTTTATTATCTATATTTTACTGATTATGTTGTTTATATCGTAGTTATTAAACTGTTATTAAAAATTTTGAAATTTATATATATATATATATATATATATTGACTAGAAATTTGAATTTAACTGACTAAAAGAGTGTAAGCAGATAATAGTGTCAGTGATAACGAAATAAATTTTTTGCTGTAACTGAATAATTGTGTTGTACACATGAATTTTGCTTGATACGATGCTAAGAGTTACTTGGAATTAAACCTCAACTCGAGACTTAAATATCATTCATATGTGCGGCTTCTAATCAATTAAAAAAAATAGATTCTAATTTACATTATAATTTTAAGCTGCACTTTGTATTTTAGACTTTTTGGAATTAACAACGCCGCAATGGATCGAGAATAACGAAATAGGTCGTTATTTTCATGGATTTAACGGTGCACATTACGTACCAAATAAAAGGTTGGCAAGACTTTACCCTCAAGATTCTGCTATAACTGCCAACGTATAGAACAAGAATTTTTCTTGTTCAACCGATTGCCCTTAAACTTCCAATGCTGGGTAAGATACATTTAAAATGTATCTTGATATACATTTAAAAATAATCGACACGTATTTTTTTATTTCGGCAATGGTTTAAGGGTAAAAACCACCCTCTGACGTTAGCGGTCAAGCATAGACAGAAAGCAATCATTTAATTTAGAAGAAAAGATACTTCCAGGGAGGTTTTAGTACAGTTGATTCTGAATCTAATGTAAAAATTACAAAATCGAAAATGGCGAATCCAATATGGCGATTACATCTCATGATAAAGGGTAATTTTTAAAATAGAAATCAGAAAAAAGTCTCTTACTATGAATCTCTTGTAGAAATTTATCACTAGTAATACCAATTAATCACTTATTTCAAGTACTTAAAATATTGATATACAGTAATTTAAGTACTCGAAATAAGTGATGAAGTACTCGAAACAAGTGAATTGGCGTTACTAGTGACAAATTTCTATAAGGGATAAGCACCCCGAATAGTGAAATGTGAAGAGACTTAGCATCCCATTAAAATGCGTACAGAAAGGGGTTTAAAATCGGTCTGCAGTAAACTCTGAAAACTATAATTTTTCTTGGCTAACTGCAGAGCGTTTCAAACCAGAAGAATTTTTGTAATTTTAATCATTATCAGATTCCCCCTTCAACGACTTTTCGGACCTATATTTTTCGCGCCAATTTCTCTATATGTAAGTTTCGAGATTAATTTATATATGAAACTTTGTAATCACGTACCAAGAGATACAGTTCCGAATAATTAATTTTTATTGATATATACATGTATATACATATACGACTTTTGTAGATAAATACTATGCTCTATTTTTGTATGCAATGTTAATTGAGAATCAACGACGAATAAAATATATTTATTTTTCTCTGCTATATTTATTGTATTAATTAATATAAACAATAAAATAAGAAAAATTGTGATTGTAAGAATTTGAATTAGTGCAGTAGAATTTATAAATTTAAAAATTTAGAAAAATTAATTAATTTATGAACTTCTTTTTAATACTTTAAGTATATGCAAAGTATGACATAATTAAAATTTACTATTTATTAATATCTAATATTTTGAAACTTTTATAAACGATAGTGTTGCATTTGTATAAGTAAAAACAGGTATATTAATAAAAGACAATGATTTTTATATTTTGAAATATATATAATACTTTTGTGTTGAAGGAGACAATAAAAACGTATTAATGATATTAGATTTTGTATGATATATTGTATGATAATTGCAGATATTGAAAATTTGTGCAAGACTTTACAATTTGACTAATTCCAATAACTTATATCTCTCTTTTATATAGAGGATTTCTTCAATGAATAAGGCAATATTTTAAGAAATATAACAAACTACGTTAAATATATATTAAAATATATTAACATGTAGGTAATTGTACAAAGACTTATACAAAAAAAAAATTGTTTATATATCTGAAAATATAAAAAACACATAATTGGAGAAACACATGTTTAGTGATGAGACAGCAAATGTACTTCGCATTTGGGCACAGAACACATTTAATGTCATTAAAATGTAACACTTTAATTTCCGTTTCTTTTAAACTTCTGTTAAAACACTCATCTTGTATTTAATTTTTTAAAAATAAATTTATTAATTTTACAAATATGTTTCTTCAGTGATCGAGCGATTTAAACAATATATAATCCTCTATATCACGTTATATAATTGTTTACACCCTGTATATACGCGCGAGTAAACTACATAAAATTGTCGAAATTCTTAAAATTTGTACATTATTTATTAAAAAGAAAGAAAGATAGACAGAAAGAGAGAGAGGAAGAAAGATTGAAATATATTTCATATTATAAATAATGTCGTAACGATACTAATAATTTGTATAAATATTCGTATTTATAAATTGAAATAAGTTTAAACAAATTTAATTAAATTAAGATTAAAAATCTGAACATTAATTTAAATGTCTGTGCTGTATTTTTTAAATTTATAAATTCATTCTTTGATTTTATTATGCGGCGCATTTATCATGATGTGAATTGAAATATTTTAACTAATTTCGTTAGACAATCAAAGGAAGAACATAAATTTAATGGAATAAAAATTATAACAAAATTTAACATAACTATTAACGAAGAATGTTTTCATCGTATCATTTATGCAGAGAATCTCTTCGATGGATGTGGCATTATTTTAGAAGGTATAACAAACAACGTGGAGCATGCGATATCTGTGATAAAAATTTCATCCTATTATCTATCGATACTTCTGTGATATATCATATAAGAATAAAACATAAAGAAATTTATACATAATGTTTCAAGTGTGCGGCCTTCTTATTCTATATCAGAAAATATATATTAAAATCCGATAATTGTACAAAGACTTATACCAAAATTTTTTATATATATCTGAAAATATAAAAAAACATAATTGAAACACACATGCTTAGAACAGCAAATATATTCCACACTTGGATATAAAACACATTTAAGGTCATTCTGAAACGCAAGATTTGCGACAAATTTAATAAGATAAATAATTCTTTTAAATTAATGATATTTATTTCAACTTCATAATATCTCTGCACCTCTCCAAATGCTACCAAAGAAGTAAGTGAAAAACCGATAAATATGAATATTACTATTTAGTTGTTTTTTAGTGATTAATATAAACTTTTGAAAAATAAATGAACAAATATACTTAATGAATAAGAAAGTTAGTCTCGAAATAAACAAGGGTATGCGAGCCAAACGCGAATGTTTGTGTTTTAGATAATAAAAATAAATTTTTCCCTTATGTCTTATAATTGTGCACGAGGCACGAAACTTGCTTAGCATAGTGCTAACAATAAGACTATTTAGGAATAAATCTCAACTTGGTTCTCAATTTTAGAATTTCTATTTTAATTCTTATGTTCCCGATTCAGCAACTTCTGGATCGATATATTTTGCTTTTCTAGATCTTTTTAGAGGGATCAGAAGGAAACATAGGAACTAAAATCTCGAATTGAGATTTATTCATCCGCGTTGAGTTCGCATAGTCTGTTCATTTTGAATTTGCATTTAATCCATGGAGTTTTTATATTCTTATAAAATTTAGATTTCTAGAATATATACACCCCGTATATACGCGCGAATAAAACTGTATAAAATTGTAGAATATTCTTATATAAACTATGTACATACATCAATTATTAAATATTTGTATTGTAAGTCGAGGATTTTATTTTAGCTGAGAATTTTATCTGTAAAGATTTGAAGAATGAAAAATGTAAATCTCTCTCTTTCTCTTTCTCTCTTATCGAGAAAATTTGACAATTCACAACACTGGAGTTTAAAACTGTAAAATATATATACATGAATATTATTGGTAAAATTTAATAAAATAATTGATAATTTGAAATAAAATTAGTTTAATTAAACTTAAATAATACATAATATAAATACATAGAAAATAGTAAAATTTAAAATAACTAATAAATTTGTAAAAATATATTATTTTAATTAAACTTAAATAGATAACAATAAATAAATAAATAAATAGTAATAACAAATAATAAATAATAAATAAATTATTTATCACGTTCTATCTTTTAAGCGCATAGAAAGAAATGGTAAATTTGCTAGTTCTAAATTACATTTTTTGCGCATGCAAGTCCTTATACCTATATCTTAGTGAAAACAAGCAATAAGACTTAAAAATTGCAGGTCAAATTCTTTGGCTCTATTGTCCGACTTAAAAAACATCATATTTATATTCTTCATATTGAGAGCCGATAAAAATATTTATTTCTGAGTCGAAATTTATAATAAAGAACAGAACGTCTACAGTGTGGAAAACATCTCTCGTGTACATCAAACTGCGAAAAGCAAGAAATTAATTACGCGAATAGTATATTGCAATCACTTTAATTTATATTCCTTTCTTGTGTTTTGTTTCTTATAATGTCTAATTGTAAGATAATGAGGTTGCCAGAGGAGATAATAGCCACTATTTTCGGCTATAATGTTATCACTATGAAAGATATCATTAACTTTCGATGCGTGTGCAAGCAATTTCGTTATGCAGCCAAATATGACAGTTATTTCTTGAAAATAAAGTTATCTCAAAGGTAATTCTTGTAGTTTGTAAATCTTTTTGTTATTTTGTCTCATTAACGCCTGTCGCACAATGTATATCACTTCTACGAAGAACGTATATTATAAATATATAATAAATAAAAAATATTAGAAAAGTTAGGTATGTTGCATTTATGTTGCATATTAAATTATTCGCTTTCATTTTTTCTATTGCTCAATAATTTTGGCAAACTCTACCGTTATATATATACATATATAATATACATATACATATATATATACATATATATATATATATATATATATATATGGAATGTAAACGTTAAATATAATATACTGATAAGAATTCTTAATTTTCGGCTGTCAAAAATTAAAAGACCAAATATTTTTCAACCGACATTCGTCAATTGATGTTTATTTAATTAATCACACAATGTTTCAACCACGGTGTTTCGACCATATAATTTTGGTCTTTCGCACACTTAACAGTAACACTTGAGAAGACCAAAAATAATATGAAACGTTGTGTAATTAATTAAATAAATATTAATTAGCCTATATGTATATCGGTCAAAAAATATTCAGTCATTAAATAGTTTTTTTTTAAATTTAATTATTAAAAATACAACATATAAGTAACTTTGTTTATTTATAATAATGTGTATTCTTCAATATATTTAATTGCATTTTTAAATATAAAAATTATATAGATGATATATATACGTGATAGAAACAGATTTGATATTTTTCTATCGGTACTTTTTATAAATAACATCGAAATCACAATAAAATTTTTATAAAAGTAAAAACATGCCAAGTGACATATATAAGCACAGTCGACATTGTTTGTAAATATGCTTTCGAAAAAATTGTTCTACAAAATATTAAAAAAAAACTTAATCTATACACAGAACTGTGGCGTCATCTTATCTGC